AAAAAAAAAAAAAAAAAATTTCGTATGAAAAAAAATATTAAAATTATCGAATTAAATTTCATTTTCATTATTATTTCATTTTAATAGGTTTTTTAATTTAAAAATTTTTTTTTTTTTTACGTAATCTAAAATAAATAAAAGTAAAAAATTATAAACCGGTAAAATTTAAAACGGTACTTTTGTGTCTTAAATTTTTTTTTTTATAAAAAATCCGATTATCATGTGATTTCACAAGTTTTTTTTTTCACTCGTATACTAATATTACTAATGGAAAATTTTAAAACTTCCAATCATAAACTTTTTATATATATAAAAATTTCCTTTTTTTCCTTTTCTTCTTTTCGATTCAAATGTGAAATCGTGTAATTAAGGTAAAGATCATGTAAACCTATCATAAAGTATTATAAAAAAAAAAAAAATATTATTATAAAGATTCTTTGTGTGCAAAATTCTTTAGATAGAATTCTTTGTGCAAAATTTCTTGTAGATAAAAAATTCTTTGGGAAAATTCTATAGATAAAAAATTCTTTGTGCAAAATTCTTTGGAACAAAAAAAGAAGGTTGAATACCAATATCAAAAAACAATAAAATAACTGTTTTGTGTAAAATTTTTATATTAAATTTTATATTAATTATTATTTTTAAAGTATTAAGAAATTATTGATAAATTAATTAAATTAATTATAATTTCCTGCATATTTTTTTTTTAATATATTGAAATATTGAAATTTTTAAATGAAAATAATTTAATAAAGATGATTAATATTAAAAAAAATTAATGATTTTTAAAATAAAGATAAAATTTATTAAATTCATTTTTTAAGAAATTTGAATTTAAAAGTTTAATAAAATAAAAGAAATAAAAGTAATTATTTAATATCATTAACGTTATGCAATGTAAAAAAGTTCATGTGATGTAAGTAATGTAGATTTTATTTTTCACTTTGTACAAAAGCTAACTGGCATTATCGATATAAATGAACTCAAACATGCTCAAGAAAATGCGGAAGCCCGACGTAGTGCTTCGATCCAGATGAAAACTTTGAATATTTTCATGTGACGATTATGGCTGAGAAAGATTATGAATTTCAGATTTAAACAGACTATAATTTAAATCAACATTAAAGTATTATTATCCCAAAAATTTATACTAATTCTGGCCAAACTTATAGTGTCAGCGAAATTTAATGAAATTCAATCCGGATGAAAATCCGCTACGGATCGAAGTACTAGCCCGACGAGGCATTCGGTTCCGAGTATGAATATGTCTGTGGTAGGTGAGAAATTAACTCTAGTGAATCGCTATTGCGTCACTAACTAGTTTCACAATTTCTTAGCCACATAGTACTGAAGGCATCTACTGTACAAGTAAGACCCAACCGAATTACGCAAGAATGTGAAGAGGATTTTGGAAGTTTGAGTTTGTTAAATTAGCTAGTAGAGATCCTGCAAATAAGAAACGCCATGTAGAAGAGTAATCAAGAAAAAATAGGCGGTATAAGTCTGCAGACACTAGTATAGAAAAATCGTCATGTATCACGGGCATAGTTCCGATCTTTGTATTTATTTTTTGCGTGTATTAATAAAAAATTTTTCTTGGCAAAATATCCATGAATAAAATTCACAGAAATCACGTGAATTTTCCATACACTATAACCAAAATTTCTTCTTGTGCCTGAAAATAGACAGGGCTTTGAAAGTCAATTTCAAATTTTCTCCTATTGTTTTTGTCATTTGCTTCCTGGTTAATATATATTTCTTTGTGAAAGCTTAGCCACCATTAAACTGATCATTTATAATAAATCACATTATTCATATTATTTGCGAAACAAATAGTACAATTAGTCAATACAACAGCCTTTATCAGTTGTTCCCTGTGAATTTTTACATAGCTACATCACAGAAATAGTAGATCTGATTTAAAAAGGAAAGGTATCTATATAGCTACGTTGTAATATGGATGATGTTACTGCGTGGTGGGGTGAAGAAGAGTCATCAGACACTTGAAAAGCGTTGTGCACATTACACAGACATCACTTTCTACTGACTGAAATCACTGAATTTTTCCACAGTCACGTGATGGGACGCGTCCAAATATAAATATCTCTTCTTTTCTTATCAACTTTTCTTATTTCCAGTCGTGTCTTTTCTCATCAGTTTCTTACATTTAAAAAGCGAATTGATTTTATCGTGTATTAAGTTCTCAAAGCGATTTAATATGTGTAAGTATAAAACGATTGAGGAAGTGTAGGTGATGAAGGTCTACGGATTCTGGAAGAAGAATCTGTTATGTACCTTTCCTTCGTCATATAAAGAAAGCAATAACGTTTTTCTACGCTACATTTCATTACGCTACATTACATTAACGCTACATTACATTACTACGCTACATTACATTACTACGCTACATTACATTACTTCGCTATATTACATTACACTACATTACATTACGTTACATTACATTACGCTACATTTATATATTTTTTAACGTTACGCCTCTACACTTTCACAATCTATTTTATTTCTTACTAAGCGTTTGTATTTTTTACACATGTTTACACTTACATTTGCTTTTCAGCTCAGAAACGAAGGTTATGTTGTCCTCCAGAACACTCGGTATTTATCAGGGGAACCTGTATAGAATCAATAAAAAACAATTGACCGAATGTATCTGGGAGAAAACAAATTGTACCGTTGGGAAGTTTCATATTTTAAAATCGGAAGACAATGAGTAAGCATTTTTTTCATTGGTTGGAGTTCCTTAATAGACCATTTTTGGTCATAATAATTCTGTAGCCTAATATCACACTAATGATCAATTTTTTTTTTAGCTTCGGTCATATCCATCTCGAAAATGAGAATGATGCAGGAACTTTCTTTAGCAAAGTTCGAGATGGAGAATTTTGTGTCGAAGGTCGACCGATTAACTTTCTGGCATCGAGACAAGCAGGTTCTAAAGACCCAATTTTATATAAAATTGATGAAACTATTACTTCAACAATTGAACCTCCCACCATTCTGAATGAACCTACTACTTCAAAACCTTCTATTTCAATTGAAAATTTTAAGGAGTTTGGAACGGGAAGACTTGTAGAGTTTCTGAGAAATGATAAGAATTTAAGTGAACTGAAGCTTGACGATAACTTTTTTATGAAAATTATGGAGGAAAATATCCCCAGACGCACTTTTTTGAAGTTAACCAAGAGTGATCTTAGGGAATGTGGGGTAAGATTAGATCCTTCGTTGGAACTTGAGGAATATATACAGGAATTAGGTGTCAAGAAGTATATATAAACCTTTCTAAAAAGAAGCGACGAAATTATCAAGAAAATATTTTATCAGGAATTAATATCTCTTAAGTGCTATTACCTTTGTACCAAATTAATGTAGTTATTAATTAATGACGTATTGATACCACGATTATTTAAAATGAGAAAAAAACAATGTAATATACTATGTAACAAGACAACAAAACAATAATGCGATGTATCATGTAACATAATTCTAATGTAATACAAATAACATGTTTAACAGTTACGATATTGTAAATTGAGACGCTTATACAAAATTCAGAAAGACTTTAGTGAGGTGTTGTGCAAAGATGGGATCGATAATAATGACATATAAAAGATTCCATTGTTCAGGTAAGTCAAAAATAGGTTATACTTTTATCTTGCTAGCTAGGGAGAGATACAACTTCTGAATTTAGAGACTGAAAAAATTGGCGACGATGACAAAGACTTCCAATACTGTATGGCGGAGATTAAACGTAAATGGAAATCATAGGTCCAGCGAAATCAAGTAATGAGGTCTTGTGTTATTCTAATATCGAGGCAGTGTTACTTTCTGTCATATTTATTGTCATATTTATTGTCAAGAAAATTGTTAGAAAAAGAATCTCGTTGGTGATGAAGCAACAGGCGAATTGATTAGGCGATCAAAAAGATAATAGATTCATTAAACGAAGAACTTATTTGCAACACCGAAGAAAAGCAGAATCAAGAAGTCTTGGGTATTAGCTTTCGAGGATGATTTCGACTACCTCTATGGGATCGTTACAACAGGTGAGATTTTTTGCACGAGCTAAATACTAGGAAAAATTACTAACTCTTATCTATTCTAGCCACGGACTGGTACTAATTTATTGCACGAAAGCCGGACTATCACATCGCTCTTACTGAGGATATTGGGGTAATCGTAGGTTTTTTAAAGGATAGGGTAGAAGTTGATGACTCACCAGTTAGTAAGAGAATCAGGACGAAAAAATATATTAACGAATAGGTTTCGCTCGCCTTGTACGTTAGATAGACATATGTATTACGGGCTACGTCTCGAACTTTTGTATTTATTTTTTCGCGTATTAATAAAAATTTTTCTTAGGAACTTTGTTTGACCAAAATCACGTGTTTATTTATTTGAATGCTTATAATAGTGTATGAAAAGTGTTTTCGAAGATGGAATTCGAGATTGACTTACTTAAATAAGAGAATGCCAAAAGATTTTAAAGCAAGTTGCAGAAGAGAGAACCAATCATGAAGCTGAGAATGCAGAGCTCAGAAGTAGAATCAAGGAGTTAGAGAATGGTAGGACGGATACGGTTGCTGAGTGTGAGAAGGCGGATATGAGCGGGGAGAAGTCATTGGAGGATAAGAAGACTGATGCTTTCTTGGATGAGGCACATAATAAATGGGTTGGTGATGAGATTAGGCAGAGGAATAGGGATTAGGGAGAAAAAGCTTTTACGTGAAACAGCTTCCGAGGTATCTTCAGTTTCCCAGAATTGCCCATTAGTTCTCATGAGCGAAAAAACGAACAGGGTTTGATTCAGGAAATAATCTAATCCAAGGAAGAGGAAGAAAAACATGCGATTGAAATTTCTCCGAACAATGATTGCCCAAATCGGGATATTATTAGTCTTTATAAAGATACACGTGAAGCTAAAGTAGATGTAATCAAATCCAATAGAGAATTCAAAAGCATGTATAAAGATTTTATGGCCAACAATAATGCTGGGAAGAAAAAAGCAAAGGGACAAGTATACGATCTTCCCAACGCCAAGCGTAAAATTTTATGTAAGCAGACACAGAAAGCTTTAAGGATTGGTAATTTATTTGATAGATAGGGCGGACAAGATTCATTATATCAAAACATATAGTGCAGATACTATTTCAAATTTACTAATTCTCATATTTAAACGATTATAGATCACTTCACCGAAAATTCCAATATGGAATTCCCGATGTTACCCCTAGTCACGTGTAGAGTTACAACTTACTGCGCCAGAAGATCATGTGGAAAATTAGGATCTACTGTGCCCAACTGTGCCAAGCCGACCTAGCCGCAGCCTACTTAGCCTATTATTTCTATTATATTTATTATATTAATTATATTTAATATAATCGATATAATTATTTTATTTATTATATTTAATTTATTTATTATATTTANATTAGTTATATTTATTATATTAGTTATATTTCTTATATTTATTATATCTATTATATTTATTATATCTTTATATGTAGTAACTTTTATATAAATAACGTTGGTATTTTCCTTCGTTATAAGTTAAGTTCCTTCAGTTCGAATTAGTTTATCTTTAGTTCCTTAATTCTCATACTTGTAATTATAAAGTTCTATAATAAAGTATAACCTTTTACACTATAAACGAACTCCCTATTTAAGCGTGTCTTGTTTGATTGGATTTCAGTCATAGTTAAACGTACTTAATCTCCCTGACTGCAAATCATAGTTAATCTATTCAACGTACCGAATCGGTTAACACCGAAGATGCAAAACAAGATGATGATGATCAGACTGCTGTATCAGAGGCACAAACGAATCCTTTGGTTTCAGCTGAAGTGCTTCAACAGCACCTATTCCTTTAACCCATGTCTCTAATTTTTCAAATGATTCCTCCAGAAATAGTTAAGAATTCGCCTGCATCATCTCGTCGACCGATTCCCCAAATAAGATGTCAATATGCCGTTGATCATGGTATCGATCCGAGAAATTTTTGATAATTACTGAGGCTGAGAAAAAAAGATGGCCGGTGAATGCTTCCGCAGTGACTTGGAGAGTGATACGCGATTTTACCGTGGTGCAATGGAGAAAGGAAGATCCTAGAAAATATTATACTTCATTTCTAACTCACGATATGTTAATCGGTGAAGAGCTATTGCGTCGAATGCGTCGTGATATTCTAGAGAGCCGTTAAAGTACTGCATAGCTCGAAGATCTTATGAAAGAATGGGAAAAAAACTATACCCAGTTTATACAAATCTTTGCTCAAGTCTAAAATGCGCAGAAGACATCAGCTCCTCATCAGGAAAAAATTTTTTTCTCGCTCCAGAACGTGACACGTTTTTTTTTATCTGAGTCTAATATCAATATAAAAGCACTATGTCTGAAACTAGTACTCCCGCCTCTACCTCCACTTCTGCTACTACACCTGGAAATGAGACACTCACCTGGCGGACGAAGTTAAAAAATATAATACGGCTCAAGACTACCAAACCCATGAAATTCAAGACATCAACAAGCATTTTAAGCATTGCGTGGAGAATATTTTAAGAATTATGGATCTTTGGTTGTATATAAATTGGAATCTATACATAATAAATACGTTTCAACTATACTCCATACATCCCTATGATACCTGAATACGAAATAATTGGTGATGAGAGTATACTAACAACATATATCCTCAAGACTTATTTGCATCACAAAAGACAAGGTCCGGCGTAGTATCCTCAAAGATTTTGTCCAAAATATCAAGCAACTCAAAAGTTCGTATGAAACGATCAAGAGAAAACGAAAAACTGGACGATGATGACTTCCACTATCCCTATGAATCATTACGAAATCCCCCACACCATCGAATTTAACAAGAAGGCCTTGGATAAAGGCTCCAAAGAATATCAAACGTTACGTAATAGTGTGAAATAAGGTTTGGGCGTGATCATTGGGTTAATAAAGGATAGGGCATGTTCAGACGAAGAACCCGATAGGAAGAGGTCTAAGATAGAGGGTATCGTTCGAAAAAATAGAGATATTGGACTCGTGTATATTAGTATTGAAAATTCGTTATATATCACGGATAAAGCCCCGCACTTGTATTTGTTTTTTACATCTGTATTAATAAAGCGGAAGCGTAGTTTCGTTTCTCTGCAACAGTCTTTACATTTACGATGCAACATAACATTGAATAATTCCCATTTTATTATTATCGGTCAGTAAATATGTCCCAGCAATTGCTTTAAAAAATTCAAATTGATGTATCTCAGCCAATATTGCTTCAATTTTTATAAAATAATAATCATTAGATTCGTCTCATTGAGAGGAATTTAATGAACTGTAAATTTTTAATTTTTAACCATTATATTATGGAATAATTTAAATGCTATTTTAATTATTATAACTTAGTAAGTATTACTTCTATTAGTACAAATAATTAATATTTAATTTTACTTGATAAGATGAGTTTAATAAACAAAAAATTATCAAAATCCAATCATTAGATGTTAAAATAATGTATTTTAAAGTTATATTAAATGCTTATATATATATAAGAATAATTGTTATTCTTATTTATATATTAAATGTTACAACTTAATAAATATTAAACCCTATTATTTTAGTATGTATTAACTAAATATTCTATTTTTTAAATGTTAAATTTGATAATAATGTATCAGCAACAGTTTTAAAGTATCTTTGATTAAAAGAATTAAAATTAAATTTTATTACAATAAAGTATTTTTGCAGTTTCTCTATATAGAATTCAAAATTGGCATTTTTAGCCTACTTTTGTTAATTAATGAAAGTTGTAGAACGATATGGTATACATATAATTATAAAATATGGGATTTATAGGATAAAAGTGTCATATATGCGCATAATTTTTAGGTTCAATTTTAGCAATTTTGACAGTTTCACAATATACAACTCAAAATTAGCATTTTTAATCTGCATTTTATAATTAGTAAAATTCATAGAGCTGATAAAATTGCATATAATAATAAAATATGGGATTTGTAGGATAAATGTGCCATATACACGCCTAATTTTTAGATTCAATTTAAGCAATTTTGATAGTTTTACTATATACAACTCAAAATCAGCATTTTTAACCTGCTTTTTTTGCTTAGTGAAATCTGTAAAGCAGAAAAAAATACATATAAGAATTCAATATAAAAATTTTTATTTTTATATTTTACTTAATTTCTCATCAAGTATTAATCCTAGAAATGCAATTTTACTACAATTAGATTTGTCTTATTGAAACAATTTCAATGAGCTATATTCTAGGGGTGTGGCCGTGTGGGAGGTCTAACTGGTTGGTTACACAATATAATTTTATATTACCAAACTGTTCCACTACCATCACCCCTGAATTTTATTATTTTAATATATCCAAGACAACATTCCAAGCCTAAAATTTTTGACACATAACATTTCTAAAAGCCGATGTTCAAGAGTAGATTAGTGTTGGTAAGAGTCATATATTGGCAAATTTTCATGGCTATTAGAGCGTTATTGGGTTTTTCAGGTCAAAGTTTTAATATAGTTTATTAGAAAAACTATTATTTCGAAATATGTATTAAAAAAATTTTTTTAAAAATATTTTTTTAACAATAAATATCACTTTTATATTAAAATTTTATTAAATACATTCTCTTTTATTAGTGAAAATTGCATACAACTATTTATTGTAAACATTTACTATAGACAATATTTTTTTCAGTTTTTTTTTTAAAAAAAAAAGGTTTAAAAGTTATTCTAAATTAAAAGTTTATATAAATAATGTTTTCTTGTAAAAAATAAACTTAGTTTACTTGTTTTAGACTTCTAAATATTGATTTATTCATTATAAATACTAAAATAAAACTACCAATGTTGTTTTTTTCTTTTCAGAGAAGGTCTAAACATTATTTAAAGTACTTGAACGCGACAAAACAGATGTAAAGATGATCATATTTCAAGGATAACATAATTGGGTGGCTGGTTTTTTAATTGCAGGGGTATTTTGTTCACTGATCATCATAATTTACTAATAACGTATATGAATTTATATGGAGGACGGTTTTGATTTATTAGACTTATTGTATATTATATTGTGTAACCAACTAGTTGGACCCCCACACCCCTAGCTATATTTCATTCTTTTCTGATCACTGGATCAAAAGTTAATAAACTGTCTGATTGGTAATAGTATTTGGCAAAAATGCCAATCAGTTACCAGTCAGTTACTGGTAAGGGGCGTGCCAGGAATCAGCTGATTTAAGAGGGGATGGGGGGTTAAGCTATAAATCAGGTCCATATATATCATGTGATAAGTATTTGTAATTTTATTGGCTAATTATTTATTAGTAAAATTGAATATGGAATATGGTAAATCCGTAAAATGTAACACTGAGTTTTTATGTAATGTATTTATGTATCATTAATGTCTAAAAATAAATAAAGTTTAAAACACCATAAAAAATGTTTAAAAAAAGTAATTTAACGTTCATTTATTTATTAATTATAAAAGAAAAAACAAAAAGAAAGAAAACACTAATTTAACTAGTCTTCATCTGACTGAACTTCACGATAATCCAAAATAACTTTCTGCCATGAGACTTGTCCTTGGATTATATCTTCTGCAACATTAAAATTTCGAAATGGAATAACTACACATTCCAATTCTGTTTCGTTATGAGTTCTTTTTAATTGCTTGTTATTTTGAGAGTGACGTTTAGAATGTACGTTGCGTTTATATTCCTTCATAAATTTTAGAGTTGGAAAGTATTTACCGCAAATATTACAACACAGCCGCTGGTGTAGTTCTTGTGAAATTGAAGGACAACAACGGTCATATGGTAAGATTTTAAGCTTATCATAATATTGAAGGGCGTGAATTGGATTAATGAAATGACCGTCTTTTCCTTTTGTAATCGGAGGAAGGAATCCGTCATTTTCATCCAAAAGTAACATTGCATCTGTGGCTCTATTTTCACTACAACATTCCCGATTTTTACATTTTTTTATGTCTAGTGAATAGCGGCAAATTTGTGCATGGTTCTCTATCCATTCCCATGATGTTGAAGAATCAAACTCATTAAATGGAATTATTTCCTTGTCAATATATTTCACTGTTACAGGCTTTCCATGTATGTCATCTCTTCTCCATATATCACATAATCTTTTTCCCGAAAACTCAAAATTTCGTCATGCTAATTCTTTATCTATTACATTATCTTGACTATCTAGATGTGAACCGAACTCATTTACAGGTAAAGTGATACTGGCAAGTTTTGCAGATAAAGAAGTCATATCCCGTTCTACTGGATTATATGCACTTTGACCTGGAGCATGAGTACGAACTGTTAAATAATCCAAATTAAGAGCACGAAAAAGGTGAGCATATTGAATAATATTTTTCATATGCTTTGGATTTTCGTCAGGTCCACCATCAACAAGAAGGATCCAAATAGGTTTAACTTCATCATCTTTTTTTATGATAGTGAAAAATTCTTCATTAGAAACAATGCTTTCTAAATCCGCTATATGGGTTTCTGATGATGTTCCAATAAAATATTCTGGTCTAATGAATATGGAAAGTTTACCAGTTCGAAGAGTATTACTTGAATCAGTTGGATCAATAGTTAGATAAACAGAAGGTATGAGTTTCATTTTTGAACCAACTGGAAAATCATGATCTTCAATAATTACTGGTTCGTTAACAGTTTGAACTGTCTTAAATGTACGGCCAACTGCAGGTGTTCCTAATCCTACCTTTGCCTTATTATCTTGGGAAATAATAACTGCTTCATTCGCAAAACTTCAGCAAACATTTTTGCAGCTTTAACAGAAGCTAAACAATAGTGTTCATCAACATGAGATTTCATTTCTGTTCATACTACAGATGCGAGACAGGACCCAGAAATATATATATAGGGGTCAGGTGGCAAAAAATTTTTTTACTATGAGCTGTACGCAGAGACTTTTTATATGAGTAGTACGCATAATTGATACCTGATATTGAAAATCCTGCAAAAATACGCAAATAAAATTTCAGACATTAAGTTATTAATTATTTTATCATGGCTTCTCTATTATTTATAAAACCAAATACTAATGTGAAAAAATAGAATTTACCATTTTTCAATAATATTTTTCTAAAATTACACTTTTAACCATTAGAAATTTCTTTCAATTAATACTAAATATTACAATGCGGTTAATTAAATAAGTACGTACAATAAAAATATTTTATAAATAAGATTAGCCAAATTTAGGCCAAAAATACGCAAACTAATTTTTTACATATAAAAATTTTGATAAAAAATACGCAATCTTGATGACCTAACTATAGATGAAAAATTCTAAAATTGTACGCAAATCAAAACTTTACTCCGTCTAATTCCACTATGATGGCGACGCATCTGTGTACCCTACCCCTGTATATATATTTCTGGGTCCTTGCGAGACCAACTTTTGCTGGATGATGATGACGACGCGCTGCAAAAGTATTTTGATGGCGGGTTGGAGATAAGTAGACAAGCATTGACGAGATAGATAGGTATTATATTTTTCTTCTAAGGCTTCGTGTAGATGCTTTACCGTTCTTACTTTAATAATTACTTTTCTACGTTTAGCATGAGCAGCTCCAAATTCAATACTATCATGAATCTTATCCCATAGATCTGGGTCTTTCATAGCTGCAGATGGTCTTCCTGGAGTATCATATTTTTCTACAACTCCTTCTTCTTCTAGCAACTTTAATTTTTTCGTTGTTAACTTTGCTTGTGCACCAGCATGACGTTTTAATTTATTTAGTTGAGCCCTTTGTTCTGATAATATTTTTTGTTCATCAATTATTTTTGATAATAGTGTAACTTTTATTGAGTCATCTGTAGAAATTTCCATCATTTGTTCATATTCAGATATCTTTTTAATAGCTAAATTGATTTTTTCAGCTGCATTACGTTGTGATGTAGCATTTTTTGGTATTTTGGTAGTATCAATAAATCCAACTAATTGTCTTGGAGTAGAGGTATATTTTGGAGTGGAGGTATGATAAAAACTACTAGTCACATTACATGACAAAAAAATTTTTTGATGAGAATGAACAGTAGAAGGTACAGTATCATAATATTCACAAATTTTATTTTCAATAAAAGTGGTGTCATTTTTTCTAACTTCTTTCCAAACAGTTGTACACTCTTCCATTAGTTGCTGGTGATTTAACTTTGGATTACAGAGTGTTGCTTGTTTGTAATATGCATACACGTTGCAAAACTCTTGATATTTATTTTGAGGTTGTTTAAAAAAAAATTTTTTATTAAAATTCGGACCTTTCAAAAAACTTTGCATGATTTTATAGAATATAAAGCAAGCAGTTTATTTAAATTTTGATTAAAATCACAGCAAGATCAATACATTTTTTTTAAAATCAATAAAAATTTTTTTATTAATTATATATTATTTTAGCCAATCAAAATGCTTAATCAGATAATCAGGTAGGGGTGGGGGGGTCAAGCCTTCTAATTGACTGAAATCAGCTGATTTCTGGCACGCCCCTAACTGATTGGTAACTGATTGGTGTCTGATTTTTCATTTTTTGACCTATGAAAAACAAACTTTATTTTTATTTATCAAAATATCAAAACAAATTCAGCTAATTACTTAAGATTTATTAATATATTATATAATTATTTTGGAATTAAAATATATTCAAATCCTTGAATCCATCTATTTACTTTAATCATTAATAAATATATTTAACTTTAAAACTAATAAAAAGATATCTTTAGTTTAATATAATTTTTAAATAATAAGTTTAGAGTATGTTTATTATATAATATAAAATTATCTACTTCTACAAAAGTAATAATCAAATAGAATTATTTTTAAAGACTTTTAATTTTCTGAACTAATCTATATCATATAATTTGAAATTTATAATTAGCTAATAAAAAACTGGATTTCTTACTTATATAAAGTACTAATAAAATGCAGTTTTTAAAAATTTTTATTACAGATAAAATAAAATATAAGAAAAAATGAATTTTATCAGTTAAAATTATACATTAATAAAAAATTTTTTTTAAAAAAAAAATTACATTTGATTTAAATTATAATAATTCAGACTAATATTATTATGATATATGAAGTTAACCCAAATTATCATAAGTTTTAATCAATATATTTTATTTCAAATTTGAGTTGATCATAAAAATTTTTTTAAAAAGTTAAAAGTTTTTCAAATATTACCATATATTATAAACCATAGTACCTTCTATGTATAATACCCTTCAAAGAAAAAGTCACATTTTCATTGATTTTATTATTTAAATAATCCAACAAATATTATAAGTATGATATATAATAATAGTATAATACTTAATTATTTTATAAGTTTTAAACATCCTCATCAATTAATAATAAAATTTATGTAATAGGAGTTTAGAATCAATCTTCCTAAATTTGCAAGATACCCAAAGTACTGTGATTGCAATATACTTATTAAGTATAGACTTCTAGTATTATAGTATAAAAATATGTTATAATATATTTTAATATAAAAAACTTTTGCCAGATTATTTAATTCTGATCAATACTAATGAAAAAAAACTTAATGCAATATACCTTGAAGTCTTGAACTTTATAATTTTTAGTTATAGAATCAGAAAATGTTAGAGAAGTAAATGAAATATATAATGCTATTAAAAAAGGAGAAAGTACATAAATTTTAGACCATTTAATGCAAGTTCTAACATCAAGTTATTTTTTTGCTCTTTTTTTTCTGATAAATTTTTACAGCTAATTTATTTCTGATTCATTAATTGCCTTTATATACCAAAAATGTACCTTTGTTTTCTTATATTTATTTGAAAAAGATTGAAGTTTTTAGATGGTAGGAATTTAAAAATAAACTATAAGAGCTATCTTAATTTTCTAATTAATAATAAAGTAGAAATAAGATTGCCTTTTCCAGTTATTAAACTAAAATAAATACTGAAAAAAAAATTCTTTAAAATATACTTAAAATGTATTTATATATTTTAAGTACATTTTAAAGAAATTTTTTTTTATAGGAACTATTTCTTATACTGTATAATAGCTAATTTCCAAACAATTATATAAATTTACAAAATTATAATAATAAATTTTATAAGATCCAATTATTTTATATGTATATAGACTGTATATATTATCAATTTAAATGGTACTATACCAATAATTTATTATAATAAGATTTCCAATTTTATAACATTTTAGTTTACTGAAATTAATATTAATTAAACACCATACTTAAACTAAATCAAAGTCATATTTAAAAGTAACTTTACACTCATGACCAGTATTCTTATTTTCAGCAATAGCAGACATTCCCACCCTCCCAAATTTTAAAATAAATGAAATAGTAATATCTTCAATATCTTCATAACTATCTAATTCTGGCAATTCTAATTGAAATTTTCGAAGTAATTTTATCTCAGGATCTCCAATATATTTCGCATCCAAAGATTTTGTTACATACATATCAATATTTATTTTTCGCTGAGTTAATGAAAATGATTTAAAATCTTTGATAACTTTACTGTTTAATTTGATTGGTGCTCCATAACCTTCCTCACCAAATTTTTCAAAAACTTTTACATACCCATTTGGAAGTTTATATGACAATGGATCGGTTGGAAGCCATTTTCTTACTACGCAAGTACCTTTAAAAGAAGGACACAGTTAAGATATTTTCTTTTAAACAAATTAATTCAAAAATATAGAATGATTTTGATACCATAAGTCCAATTCAATACACGACTCTCTACAACTTCTTCTGAAAGACCAAATTTCACAGCTTGCAGATTTATTTTTTAAGAAAGGTTAATATTATTTTAAAGAGATTCGTAAAAGGATCTTTTTTTACCTACCTCCTTTCATAACAGATGTAACAGGATTCTTAGGCACAGAAATATTCGGCACCTCTGAAGAAAATTCTCCCCTAATTCTATCTTGTAAATATTCAGATTCACTAAATCCACCCACCAATAACATTAAAGAAATGTCCTTTTTAAGCCGTTTTAGTTGCTCCAATTGTCCTCTTATTAATGTAAAAATTCTTTCTATAACAGGATCGAACATTTCTTTAACATCATCAAATTTAGCTTCGATCAACCATTCATCAGCTTCTAACTTCTCTTTTTCTTCTCCAGTAATACATTTTTTAATTGGCTCATATTCATCTAAATTTAAGTAATAAGCCAGAAAATCATCCTCTCGTCCCGTAAAAAAAATTTTAGTGGTTGTACAAAAGTCTTGAACGATATATTGTAGATTAACATAATGATTCTCTTTTAAAATATCAATAGTGGAACTTCCTATTTTACTATCAAGAAACTCAATAAATGCCTGGTCCACATAACATGAACCACAGTTATCGCCTGCACGCACAGTTATTTCACTTAATTTATCTTCGTCTAATAATTCTCGCGTTGTTAGATCCACTGTGCCACCACCACAATCAACCACCATAAATAAATCTATTTATACAGAAAAAAAGATTTAAAAAATTTTCTCACGTGAACTGCAATAGAAAAGTCATACTAACCTCCCGATTTCAAAAGATATTCATTCCTTAGTGAACTTATAGAATTAATCGCTGCAGCTTCAGCTATAAATTAAGTAATATGTAAGAACCTTGAATAATCAAATATTTATAATCGAAAAATTTGAATTTATGATAATTAATTCTGACTAGAATTAAAAGCAGATTTATTCATTGGTTACTTACGTTCTGTTGTAAATTTTAAATTTCTTTCAATATTTTCCTCTTTGACCAAATTTGCGCCAATCGCACATTCACTCATTGTTTCAATCGCATTATCGTCGAATTCTGCGGGAACCTAGAAAAATAAGTAACGAATTACATAAATTGATAAATTTTCTATTACTTAAATTTTTAATTTTTTAAAAAAAAATCGAAAAGCTTTTGTTACCGTAATTACAATTATAACTTGACTATCAAAATCTAAACTGTGCCAATGACTTTTTACCCTTCTTCTAATATAATTACCTAATTCTTTCAAATAATCTTTAATAACATCTTTATAATTTAATGCGTCTGGTAAAGACGTAGTTCCCCTTTTTAATAGATGTAACTTAAACAATTCAATCGGTTTTGAAGAGGGTCGTAAAGACCTTCCTCTTGGCTTTGTTGCTAGTGCCGATAATCCCCACGACATTACATTTGCACAGGAGTCATCATAATTTATGACTGTTGGTGTTTTAAACCATCCTCCATGGAGACCTTTCCAAAAATCGTATACTTGAACATCATTAGGATTGGATTTATGAGCATATGCAAATCCCTTTCGTTTTTTTTAAGGAATAATTAATCAGCTTATTAAAATACTAATTCTCAAAATTTGATTCGTTTACGCTAAATAAAAATATTCTTACGGAATATGTAGTTCCAAAGTCTGTAATATAATAGGTAAAGCGAAAAAAATGTGAGAATCTGGCACATTTTGTATTAATTAATAAAATACGTCGACTTAAAACTTACCAACACCCACCACAACGCGAATGTCGTCGCTTGAAGACATATTTTCTTTAAAAAAAATTTTTATGAACTAATTAGTCTTATTTTTTGTTGATTATGTATAAATAAAAAATGAGAAAATTTTAACGTCAATTTACGTATTATCAACAAATCAATGAATTGCTTTGTCAGTATATCATAAATACTTATAAGCCATTAATGACAAATTTAGAATTATTATCAAATCTAAAAAAAAAGAACTTTCTGTTATCGATTGTACCTAACTCAGTTATTGTTTCTTTATACGATTGCAAATTCGAAATAGGCGATGAATCAAATAATAATTTGCATTAAAACAAGTATAAGTTTAATATCAGATTGGTAATCGATTGATTACCGATTGTGCCAGACAACAATGATTCTTATTATAGATTGATACGACTTTAACCATTTTAGTCTTTAAATGAAGTTCCTCTTTAATTTGTGAATGAGTGTATGATAATGTGATATAATCGAATCTAACGTCATACTTTTAATCGATTATATTTTTCTTATAAATATTCGAAATTTACGATAAAGTTAATAATTAATTTTGATCTCGGTGAATTGGAATTTTTGAATTTATTATATACGTCGTTAATTAAAGATCTTTGAAAATGCCGGATATTCGTGTCATAGTTGGTTTAGGTACGATAAACATTAAAATTGCATTCGTTTATTAGCTAGTTTAATTAATGAAGATTTTTGAATTCAACGTTTCTCTGAAGATTTTGGAACCACTTATTCGGTAATTTGTAGATTTTTTAATTGATATGATTCATTTTTTTTGAAAATTAACCTTTTAAATGACATTGAACCTTTTCAATAGGGATATACTTATTGTCATCGCGAAGCCACTGAAGATATAATGTATACAACAAACGTAACTTGGCCTAACGCTGGCGATAATATCGTAAATAATATATTTCTTCTTAAATTAACGAGAATCACGAAAAAAGATTATTATTTATTTTTTTTTGTTTGTTAAAAGAGCTATAAAACCAATACAGTATTAAGATATGATGATAGTTTAAGAAATGTCGAATCGTGGGGGCAATCCGCACTGTCTAAACCCCCGGATCGAAGGGTTGCTGTGAATAAACGAGAAAAAGTGTTAGAGTTGTTTAAATTACATTTAGGTAATTTAAGCGATGAGCTTAAAGAAAAATATAAACTTACTATAAATTATAAAGTAGCAATTACTGATTATCTTCGAGAAATCGGTAAAGTAAGTGTAAGATTAATAACATTTAATTTTATATATTTTTTTATTAAAAAATATCTTTATTGTATTCATTATTTTATAAATAGCATATAAAGGATACTATAAAGGATGTTAGTGATGAAGCTAGGTGGGAAATCGATTTTATGGAAAATGTGCTGCTAGTCCTTACTGTTCCTGCTGAATATACACAAAAAGAAAAAGCGACAATGAGAAAGTGTGCATTAGATGCTGGATTAATTGACGATTTAGATTCTAAAAAATTAGAATTTACTACGGAACGTAAGTTACAAACGAATTTTCTCTTTTTTTGAATAAAATCATTAATAAAATCTTTCCTTTCCAATAGCTGAAGCTGCAGCAATTTATTGCAAGGATAATGTTCTTAAAGAACATGATTTGGCTACTAGTGGAAGTATGTATTATTATGAATACTTCATACACATCATTTAAGTTAACTAGAATTCTGTTTTGTAAACAGCGATTTTTATGATCGTCGATTGTGGTGGTGGTACAGTAGATTTGACGACACGAAAATTATTGAATGAAAATCAATTGGGAGAAATTACAGAAAGAGCGGGTGATTATTGCGGAAGTTCTTTTATTGATGGTGCATTCCTTGATCACTTAAGGACAATACTCGATAATCATCCCATGGATTTATTGAAGGAAAATTATTATGGACAAATGCAGTATATGGTCCAAAATTTTTGCCAAAATGTTAAATTTGAATTTACGGGGGAAGATTTAAACTTTAGCTATGAAATGGATCTCAATGAAGTATCACCTGTTATATCACAGTACGTAAGCGACGAAGTGAGAAAAAGAATGGAAGAGGCTGAATGGTTAATTAAACTTGATTATGAGACGATCAAATCAATGTTTGATCCAGTCGTTGAAAGAATTTTACGAATGATTCGTGTTCAACTTGAAAATTGTAAGGAGAAAGGTTCTAAATGTTCTGCGATGTTATTAGTCGGAGGGTTCAGTCAATCAGAATATTTACAAAAGAGAATTAGAGACGAATTTTCAGATCACGAATATCACCGCGGTATTAATATTTCTGTTCCTATAAATCCGGTCGCGGCTGTTTCTCGCGGCGCAGCAATCTATGGTGCTAGTTTTGCCAATTCTGTTAATGACATGGATGATGATGAAATGGATGGTCTAATGTTTGTCATAGATTCACGTGTACTAAGACATACTTATGGGATCAAAGTTTTAAACCCTGAAGATTCTACTTTTCGTTTTCATGCTATGGCAAATAAAGGAACCATGGCTAACATTAACGAAGAATTTACCGCAAATGTAAGACCTTCTTTTCCTTTTCAAAAACAGGGAGTATTTGAAATTTACTTCATAGACAAATACGAACACGAAGCTAATCTTGGTGATCCCAGAATGAAATTACTTGGGAGACTTAAAATCGATTGGCCAGACAAACATCTCGGAATAAATAGACCCACTACTTTTAAATTAGCATTTGGTAAAATGGAAATTACGGCGAGGGCAAGTAATGATTTAAATGGTCAAAATTACCATACTTCTTTTGAAACAGACATAGAAGATTGATCATTATTATTTTCCGCCGTCTAAATATTTTTTTCATTTTGTTTGCTAATAACTATCGTTAAAATTTTTTGCATATATGACGTAATTTTTACAACATATCAATTGGTTTCTTTACAAATCATGTAAAAAATGTGAAATAAGGTGAAATATGACGATGTGCAATGTAAAAACTCTTTTTTTTATCTTATTAAATAAAGATATTATCTGAACTGCTTTACATATTCGTTATTACCAATTGCTAAATTCCATCCGATTTTTATTTATTATAACAATTGTCGGTATCGTTCTTAGGATTGACAATTAAATTTGATAAACATTATTTGAAGTTAAATAGTAAATTTTATTTGATGTGATATATATAATATATATTATATATATATATAATACAATGTAAGAAAAATAAAAAAAAATATAATTGTGTAAAATTATTATCATCTATATGTAATAAATTATTCGTCTTTTTCTTCGTTGGGTTCATTTGAATCGCTAATATATCGCGGAAATACTTTTGCAAGTGTAAATATTTTTGCATCTGAAGAATTCAAATTTCTTCCAACGAGAGGAAAGTAACATATATCTACGCGTAATTTATCGATTTCATCTTCATTCCATGATCCTTTCATCAAATTTGGATTAATCATGTTATTTTCAAAAAGTTCACATTCTGTTTTTGGTTCTTGAACATTTATGCGAAACCAAAATAATTTATAAATATCTTGAACAAGTTTTGGTGCCATTGAATCAACTTGTTCTTTTCTATTAGGATCATTGATTTTACGATAATGATTCATCATTTTATTGAGTTCGTTGCTAACGAGAGCTATAAAATCATGCATCCGCATATTTCCATCATCATCAATTATATTGTTAAATCCACGATTACCAAGAATTCCATAAACTTGTTGACGTATTTTAATCATTGATGCATCAGTAACCTCATCAGTTCCGGCACGAGTTACTGAGAAAAAATTGATTAATTTTAATAATTCACTTGCTTTTGATACGATATCTGATTCAAGTGTAAGGGGTCCCCTTGTGATTTTTTGGGATTCAATCAAATTATGCAATTCATGAGAAAAACCACGTACATAATCTAATACTTTACGTTGCAAAATAGCTTTAACAAAAATCTTATTTGGATTTTCCGCAGTAATTTCATTTAAGCAACCATATTCTTGCGCAAGCTTTTGTATTTCTTTAATGTTAAGATCCATATTAGGTTTCAAATGAGTTACATAATTATCCAATGTGTTCTGTAATTTTAAGATATCATTTTTTAATTTAATTGAATGATTTTGATCACCATCGCCAAGACGAGTATTTGTTGCAACACCAAGTGCTGATTGATATTTAGATGCCTCTTCTTTAAGTCTGGAATTTTCGTCTTCTAGATCGCGTAAACCATTTCCCTTCTCATCTAACCTTTGTCTTATATTGTTAATATTCTTCTTATATTTTTCAAGTGCTTGTTTAAATTCTTGCTGAAATTTTATTCTCTGTTCTCTTAATTGCTGTTCTAAATTTTTGATATTATTTTCCATATCTCTTTCCATATTTTTTTTTGTTAATTCTAACTCATTATAACGACCATTTAATTGATTTATATCTCGTTGATAATTTTCTTTTAAAATTTTTAATTTAGAGTCGAGTTCTTGTTTTTCTTTCTGATTTTTTTCAATTATAAAATTATTTTTTTTTCTTTCCTGCAACATGTCATCTTCAAGTTTTCGCTTTTCTTTTTCCAATTGTTTAAACTTTTGAGAATTCTTTTTTTCCTGCGATAAATCACCTTGAAGCTTTTGAACTTTATCATTTGAAGTTTTTAATTTTGATTCGATTTCTCGCTTTTCTTTTTCCAATTTCTTAGACTTTTGAGAAATTTTTATTAGTGATTGTTCTAATTCTTTATAACTTTCTTTCATTTCATTTAATTCTTCTAGCAATGCATTCTCTTCATTATTTTTTATTTGGGTACCATTATTATAATGATCCGGATCATTGAAATCTAATTCTTTTTTTGTCTGAGGAGAAAAATCGTTGATTTCATCATTTTCAACTTGATTATTTTGAAGTTTGTTTCCTACAAAATTATAAATACGATATAGAGTATTCATTTTTACGTCGTAATTTTTCCTTTTTTAAAAAAAAAAGTTGTTAAATTTGTTACTTATATATGAAATTATGTGATAATTAATAATTTATCACTTTTATCACTTATAAAATCAAATAATAACTTGGTTTGTTCCATTCAGAGATATTTATGTCATAAATCATATATCGTGTGAATGATTCTTAAGTAATCAGGTTTATACGTTATATTTACGAAACTATCTCATTATATCCAAAAATACTTTTACTCCCATTTTATTCCACTTTAAGTATGGCCTTATCTAGTTTGATCATCGAAAAGTACGTGTTGTGTACTAAAAAAAACCTTTGCATATAGAATAAACTCTTTGATACAAGCCACATAAAAAACTTATCTTGGCTACGTTATTACCAAATATTATTTTGTGCGCTTTACAAGAAGAAATATTTTACTTTGGGTTTTTATTATCGTTTTAATTATTATTTCACTCAGTTTCGTTTGTAAAGTTTAATGACTTTATATATTCTCATGTTATTTGATTGAAATTATTTAACAGGCAAAAAACTTAAAATAACTAAATAGACATCAAACGCCAAATGGAAATTGACCTTTGCTTCGTTATGGACTGTACCAGTTCTATGGGGGGCCACATTAAAGGTGCCAAGAATGCTATCGAAAGGGTGGTAGAATACATGGCAAATATGAAACCAACGGTTATAGTTCGGGTCGGTTTCTGTGGCTACCGTGACCACTGTGATGGTCCTAACCGCCTACAAATTTTTGATTTCACCAATTCTTGCGATGATTTTAAAGATTATCTATCGGGTATTTCAGCTACAGGTGGTGGAGATGCTCCGGAAGATGTCCTAGGCGGTCTTAACGCAGCTGTAAACAGTATAACATGGCGAAATCCTACCCGCGTCCTTTTACACATCTGTGACTGTCCGCCACATGGCCGTCGTTTCACTGGTTTGCTAGACGATTATCCAGATGGAGACCCAAATGGTCTAACTGCTGAACAAGTACTAAGAGAAATGCGATCAGCAGGCATTTACTACTTTTTCGGGAAAATCACGGAATATACTGAAACGATGACCGAAGAATTCCAAAGCATAGTTGGAGAGTATCCGGTATTTGATATCAAGGGCACTCCAGACCCAGAGGGATTAGTAGAAAAATTTTTTGATGCTGCTTGTTCAGCTATCAATACTGCTATCACATTAAGAGAATCACATTGAGAAATAATGTTTTTGTTCTACAAATAGCAGTCTAAATTGCTATATTCTATTATTTGATGTTTTTATTATACGTAAATTTATTTAATAAGATTCCAGTCCTGAATTTTATAAATTAAGCTAATTATCAAAATCAAAAGTTATAAAATATGAACCTAAGCTTAGATTTTGAAATTTTGATCTAAACAGTGAATTATAGAATATCAAATAATAATTCTGTGTTAATAATATTTCTAGGGCTTAAAAGACTTACAGTTGACTTCATTTGAACTGCTGATATTTCGCAGAAATACATTACTTTGCAAGTGTATATACTGAAAAATTCAAATTCGTCTAATTAGAAGTAGCACATACAGTATATACACGTAATTTATCGTCCTGTAGAGTAATTATAATACTTTCAAAAAATACTCTCTCTTGAACATTTAACGAAATAATTTTATTTTGCGATATTGATTCATCATTTTTTGTTTTTAAATTCTTGTTTTGGCCCACCATCGTAAAATGCTTATTGATATTTGATGACTCTTAAGTTTGACATTTTCGCCTTTTAACCTACGTAAATTATACTGTATCTAATCTAATATAATATTCTTCTAATATGTTTCTTGTACTTCAATTATTTAAATTTTTGCCGAAATCTCTTTTTGATCTCTCAGTTATTGTTCCAAATTGTTCCAAATTATTACGATCCTTTAAATGATCAAAATTTCATTGATAAATTTCGAATTCTCGCTTTTCTTTTTCCAACTATTTCTCGTATTTTATTTAATAATATTAATGAAATTTGATTACTTTTCCCTTTCCCTATGAAAATCCACTTCAAGTTGTATAGATCGATATAATTTATTTCTTCTATAAATCCAGACATCTTTTTAATTATTCGGATTTAGTTTATTGATGAAAAATTCGTTGATTAAGTTCAAGTTTTTTTTTCTAAGGAATTATCCGAAAAAAAAAAAAATATATATCGATACTAAAAATATTTAATTACTCAACATCAAATAACAGGTTTGATTGATTCAGATATTGATATGATATATGATATGTGTCATAAATCATATACCGTGTGAAATTAATGTTTTCAAAGCCTATCTCATTATATCAATAAGACTTTCCCCATTTTATATTCCTCTTTGAGTATAGCCTTATCCAATTTTGTCAATCTATCAAAGCATAAAAAAAGGTACACAAAATGCGTGTTACACAAAAAATCATTACGTGCGTGTTTATAAAGCCGTACTTTTCATTCATTATAGTTTTCAAGAATAAAAATTTCTTAAGGGTTTGATTGCTATTTTAATTGTCTGTTATTATTTTGTTGAAATTCGTTAGTTAAAAGTTTTAATAACTTACATACTTATTGACGGTTATACATGTTATTTGACTATAATTGTTTAATAGGCCAAAAACTTATATCTTGAAGAAAATTAAATACGCCAAATGGAAGTTGATCTTTGCTTTGTTATGGACTGCACCGGTTCTATGGGGGGCCACATTGAAGGTGCCAAGAATTCTATCAAAAAGGTGGTAGAATACATGGAAAATATGGAACCAGCAATTAAGATTCGGGTCGGTTTCTGTGGTTACCGTGACCACTGTGATGGCTCTAATCGCTTACAAATTTTTGACTTCACTTATTCTTGCGATGAGTTCAAAAATCGCTTATCGGGTGTTTCGGCTTCAGGTGGTGGAGATTCTCCGGAAGATGTCCTAGGTGGACTTAACGCAGCCGTAACCAGTATGACCTGGCGAAATCCCACCCGCGTCCTTTTACACATCGGTGACTATCCACCACATGGCCGTCGGTTCAATAATACGGATGACGATTATCCGAACGGCGACCCAAATGGTCTTACTGCAGAACAAGTGTTAAGGGAAATGCAATCAGCAGGTATTTACTACTTTTTCGGGAAAATCACGGAACATACCGAAACGATGACCAGAGTGTTCCAAAGCATAATTGGAGAGTATCCGGTGTTTGATCTCAAGATCTCTCCAAACCCAGAGGGATTAGTAGAGAAATTTTTTGATGCTGCTTGTTCAGCTATCAATACTGCTATCACATTGAGGGGGGAATAATTTTTTTGTTTTACCAATAGCAACTTAAATTGCAAATTAATGCTAAATACCGTATAATAATTATTTAGTGTTTTTATATAATTTATTTCATCACAATTCTTATTCTAAATAAGGATTCTGAACTAATTACAAAAATCAAATTTCGAACTTAAACCTTTAAAATAAGTAGATTTGAATATCCTATAAGTTTACTGCTGGAAATAAATACTGACAATAATCGTTTAAACAATGAAAAAAGAATATCAATAATTTTTATCGTATATTCGAATATTGCATTTTACAATATTTAAATCTAAAGTCTTACTCTATGTATAATAGAATTAGCATGGTTACAGTACGATTTCCGAGCCATTTCCTGAATATACCATTTCCTGAAGTTAATTTTCCAATTTCCGATTGCTTATTATGGAAATTGAATCTTTTCTGAAACTTCCATAATACTAATATCCCGATTTGCATCTATTTTTTTTTTTTCAAATAAATAACGATTTATAATTTTAAGAGTGTGATAAATAATAAAATTCTATGTAGCGTGAACATAACTCAGATATTAATACAAAGATAATTTATTATTGCAAATTTATTCCCGAATGGACATTTACTGGATTTATTAATGAATGATTTTATTTATATTTAATAAATCACAATGACCAAAAAAAAAAATTATTTTCCCATGATTTTAGGTTTCTTATTAACCCTTTCCATTTTGGCCTGGCATAAAAATGGTTTATTGTCAAAAGATTATTTGATTACAGAAATTTAAAATAAATAACATTATTAACAACTGAAAAGTTTTAAATAAATATAAAAATATATATAATAAATAATAATACATAAAAAAGAGTATATACTGGATATTTGGAAATTAGAAAATTGGGATCAGAAATTGGAGAGTAGTATTAGTAGTATTGGGGTTTTGGAGAATGATCCAGTAAATTGACTTCGGAAAATGAAAAATGGCATTCGGGAAAAGGTCCGACAAGGATCTTTAAGTTTGATGTTTTCATTTAAACCATTTCCTTCTCATCTAATTGTTATAGTGTTAATGTACATAAAATTTTTGCGTTAGTTTTATTCATTCTTTCTTAATGGGATTACTAATGAATTTTGAAATTCCCGTTACCCTTGTGACATTCATTTTCAAGCTTTGTAGATTGATATATTTTACAATTGCTTTAATTCTTCTATCAATGCGGACATCTATTATTATTCAGACCATTCGGATATTTGAATCTAATTCTTTTCTTAATGTGAAATTCGTCGATTTCATTATCTTCATTCTTCAACTTGTTATTTTGTAGTTCAAGTTTGTTTTTCTAAGGTACTGTCCAGAAAAAAAAAGATCAAACACATATAAAAACATTATTCCGCGGAATCTACTTAGAATATATATCATAATTTTTCACAGAGAATTATGAAATAATGTGATGATTTTAGTATCACTTGATTAACAGGTCAAAAATAACAGGTTTTATGTTAAGAACTTTTTTGTCATTCAAAGAGATTTTGCAAATACAATATTTGTCATAAACCATAAACAATATGAAAAATGATTTTGGGTTACAGATTTATTTTTAAAGCTTATCTCATTATCTATGATACTTTTACCATTTTACATTCCTCTTTGAGAGTAATCTTATCCAAATTTGTCAATCTATCAAAATCATAATGAAAATTTTAAAAAAGTACACGAATGGATGTGTTGCACAAAAAAAACATTACGTGTTTTTATAAAGACGTACTTCCCTTTCATATTATTATTCTCTATTTTTCAAGAAGAAATATTTTTTTTAGGTGTGCAATTTTTATCTGTTATTTTTAATTGTCTGTTATTATTTTATTAGTTAAAAAGTTTTAGTGACTTACACATTTATTATAATTTTATTTGAATATATTTGTTTAATAGTCGAAAAACATAACTCGAAGAAAAATTAAATAGACATCAAACACAAATGGAAGTTGATCTTTGCTTCGTTATGGACTGTACCAGTTCTATGGGGAGTCACATTGAAGGTGCCAAGAGTTCTATTAAAAAGATAGTAGATTACATGGCAAATATGAAACCAGCAATTGTAGTTCGGGTCGGTTTCTGTGGCTACCGTGACCACTGTGATGGCTCTAACCGTCTACAGATTATTGAGTTCACTACTTCTTGCAATGAGTTCAAAAATAATGTATCGAATGTTTCAGCTTTGGGTGGTGGAGATGCTCCGGAAGATGTTCTGGGCGGACTTAAAGCAGCCGTAACCAGTATGGCCTGGCGAAATCCCACCCGCGTCCTTTTACATATCGCTGACTGTCCACCACATGGTCGTCGTTTCACTGATTTGAGTGATACTTATCCAGATGGCGACCCAAATGGTCTAACAGCAGAACAAGTACTGAGAGAAATGCGGTCAGCAGGCATTTATTACTTTTTTGGAAAGATCACGGAATATACTGAAACGATGACCAGAGTGTTCCAAAGCATAATTGGAGAGTATCCGGTGTTTGACTTCGAGAGCACTCCAGACCCAGAGGGATTAGTAGAAAAATTTTTTGATGCTGCTTGTTCAGCTATCAATACTGCTATCACATTGAGGGGGGAATAATTTTTTTATTATTAATAGCTTAAATTAATCAAATTATCAAATTGAAAGCTTTAAAGTTTATATTTTAAATTATTTTTACACGAAATAAATAAAGTTTCTAAGTTAAAAAACTTTGAACTTGAAAACCTTCTAATTCTTTAGATTTTTTAAAAATCTACCGCAATTGAAGTACGCTACTTTAAATCAGCACGTGGCAAATAATTTCTTTCGAAGTAGATGCTAAAGATTTGTAGTAATAATAATGTTAGCCTTCATATATCATTCTTTTATATATTAAATTTGATATGTATATGTACTGTACATATAATTATTTTCTTAAAACTATTATCATTTCTGTGTAATAATATTATTCGATCGCTTTTTTCTTCGTTGGTTTCATTCAGACCGCTGATATTTCTCTGATATTTAGCGGAAATACTTTTGCAAGTGTATTTATTCTAATTTATGTCTGAAGATTTCAAGTTTGTCCAACTAGAAGAAAGTAGCATATATCTACGCGTAATATTTCGATTTTATCATCCTTTCATCATACAGTATTTGGATTAACCATCACTCATCAATGAATTCACTTAATTCTGGTCTTGAACATTTACGCGAAACCAACATTAACTTTACGATATTAATTTGTAAAATTATGTCATACAAATATTTCATTATCAATTATATTGTTAAGCCCACAATTAACGCATTTTTATTATCGATACATATATAATTTCATCTTGTTCCGATTCAAATATAAAGATTTACCTTGGATTTCAGCCGATCCATGAGAGAGCTTACGTACTAAATCCAATGCTCTACGATGTAAAATGGATTTAATAAAGCACTTCTTTTAGTGTTAAGATCCATATTAGTAGATTTCGAGTTACATAGTATTCCAACATCGATAAACCGATGCTTCTTCTTTAAGTTTGATATTTTTAGCTACTAATTTACATAAACCATTTCTCTTCTTGCCTAATCATTATAATGTTAATATTCTCAAATTTTCGTGTACTTGTCTAAATTCATTCTTGTTGAAATTCTTCTTTGACTTCAGTTTTTTCAATTGTTTCTCGTGTTATATTTATTTTTTTTTTCTAGTGGTTTTGTAACATTCACTTTCAAGTTTTGTAAATTGATTATTTAATTCTTATATCGATATCTATCTATTCAATTCATTCGGATCTAATCTTTTCTTGGTCAATGTGAAATTCATCGATTGACGTTTATTTTTAATGTATTATCCGAATATAAAAAAGATCGAATATATAAAACAATGATTCCACGGAATTACTTAAAATATCATAATATGTCGTAGAATAACTACTTTCCTTTTCTTTTTTTCGTCAAAAATATCATTATAATATTAAACTAAAAAAGTATATGACAATAATACAATGATAACATAAAAAATCATCGTACAATGAACGCATTATACTCTATTTTTTGTGATAATTGATATTTTCACCTGTTTAATTAGTCAACACAACTTGTTTTATTTTAAGTTTTTATTTTATTTATTTATATTATTTATTATTATTTTTTTTCTGAGACTTTTTGTCATTTAAAGAGATTTTGCAATTGGCATAAAATCAAACAGTATGAAAAATGATTTTGAATTACAGGTTTTACAAGAAAACTATTCTAAAAATACTTTCTTTTATTCTTCATTTTATTCTCTTATTTCTCTTTGAGTGATAGCCTTAATCTGTTATCCAATTTTGTCCTTCTATCAAATGAAAGCTTGTACTAAAAGTATGTGTTTATAAAGGCATACTTTTCATTCATATTATTTTTATCCTTTGTAATTTTTCAAGAAAGAAATATTTCTTTAGGTTTGTAAGTGCTATTTTAATTGTCTGTTATTATTTTACTGAAATTCGTTAATTAAAAGTTTTCATTTATTGTCATGTTGTTTAACAGTGTTTAATAGGTCCAAAACTCGAAAAAAAATCAAATAAACATTAAACTCCAAATGGAAGTTGACCTTTGCTTCGTTATGGACTGTACTGGTTCTATGGGGGAATACATTGAAGGTGCCAAAGATGCTATCGAAAAAGTAGTAGAATACATGGCAAAATTGGAACCAGCAATTAAAATTCGGGTCGGTTTCTGTGGTTACCGTGATCACTGTGATAACCCTATCCGCTTACAGGTTTTTGATTTCACTTATTCTTGCGAAGAATTCAAAAATTATCTATCGAATGTTCCAGCTACAGGTGGTGGTGGAGATGGACCGGAAGATGTTCTGGGCGGACTTAACGCAGCCGTAACCAAAATGACCTGGCGAAATACTACCCGCGTCCTTTTACACATCGGTGACTATCCACCACATGGCCATCAATTCGATAATCCAGAAGATGACTATCCGGACGGCGACCCATATGGCCTTACTGAAGAACAAGTATTGAGGGAAATGCGATCGGCAGAAATTCATTATTTTTTCGGCAAGATTACAGAATATACAGATACGATGATCAAAGTGTTCCAAAGCATAATTGGAGAATTTCCAGTGTTTGATATCATGAGCACTCCAGATCCGGAGGGATTAGTAGAAAAATTTTTTGATGCTGCTTGTTCTGCTATCAATTCTGCTATCACATTGAGGGAATAATTTTTTTTTGATTTACCAATAAGCTCATATATTAGTATCAATTCATTTTAGAGTGCTATAAATTAAAATTTTTTTTTTTTAAAAAAAAAAAAATATTCCCGTTTTTTGTGAAAATTATAAATTAGACTAATTATTGGATCAATTATCAATGATTAAAAAATTTTAAACTTGATTAACTTGATATCGCTATAAAGTCATTATTATGAGTTAACTTTAATATCAGTTATACACAATACAAACAAGTACTGTATATTATCGCAAGTTCATTTGAACATATCAGATATGAAAATAAAATTCATGCACTAATCATAATTGTTTTAATCAACAAATTATAGAATATTCATAAAAAACATTTTTTTTAAAGACCTTTAAAAGTCTTTATAAAAATAATGAAATTAAAATTTTCATAAATAACAACACTCTTAGGAAAAAAAAAAAATATAGTCTAGAACAACATATATATAGTTTCAACTTTCATGAAAAGAAAAGTATATATAATTGTTTACTAATGTGTATATATATTTTTGAGATTATCACAGCAAAGAGTCACGTGATATACAATGGTGCATGCAATGTGACACAAACGGCTATAAATTTTCTCATAATTCGGCGATTTATGTTTAACGCGAAAACTTTTTATTAAATTATATCAGATATTTCTTGGAAAGTAAGAGAAATGGGAAAGAAGAAAGAAAAGAATTCAGAACCACGTTTGATACAACATAGAGAAATATATCAACGAATGAATTTTCTTTATCAAGCAGCAACATTAATGACAACAATAAGTGCAAATATAACACAACCATCACCAATACTACCTACAACTTCCACGTCTCAACAACCTTCCCTATTATATTCTTTCTCAGATCAAGAGCAAGAATTACAACAAGGACAATCTAAAATAATAAAAAGTAATGCAACGACTAACAAAACTAACTTGGACAATACGAAAAATTTAGCTTCGTTAGGTAGATTTTATATAAATACCATGAAAACGATTGGTACGAAACAAGTTTTACGTATAGATCCTTCAATAAAACGTACAATTTGTAAAAGATGTGAAACAATTCTGTTACCTGGAGTAACATCTAAAGTTCGAATTAAATGTAAGTCATTTTATCCGTTCATTTATGTATTAATAAATCTCTTAATTAAATTCTCTCTAATTTAACTAATTGATATTAGCTCGTCCTGAACCTCACCTTCAAGTTATGTGTACTGAATGTAATACTTCAAAAAATTATTCTGCTCGCAAAGGTTATCAATTATTTTCTGAAAAACCCGAAAATATCTTCGGATCAAATGAAACATCATCAGGAGAAAATGATGAAGTTACACAACAACCACCTCATCATCAGAAAAGAAATAAATCAAAACAAAAAAAAAGTTATAGTTCAGAGTCAAAAGAAAAAATAAATAAATAAATAAGGTATTTTAACTAATAAGTTCTTAACTTCTTTTCTATTTCATAAAATTTTTTTTTTCTTTTTGAATAATGAAAAAAGTAAAATAATAATAAATGACATTAAGAAAATAAAAAAAAATCTCTTTCACAGTAAAAACTCCCATTAGCTAATAAATAAAATCCTTCTTAAATTAAGTGTTATTATTTACTATTCTACAAAAAATAATGTTGAACAAATAAAAACAACAAGGTATAGTGGTTGTATGTAGGATTGGATTATAAATAATTTTTTTTCTCTTGTGTCACTACTGTTATTCATGATTCAAATAAGTAATAAAAAGGGTAATAAAAACAATAATATTACTAAATAATAATATATAATAATGTGAATCGTATAATGTTCCATTCTTATTTGTCGTTACTTCATCTTTCTTTAAATCCTTGCCGAGTCAACTAAATTGATCGTTAATTTTTGAAAAGAACGGACTCATAAATTCAAAGAATGCAAACTGTGATGGATTTGTTCCATATTTATATACGAATTTACTAGCCAAATAAGATCCAAATATGGCTTTTACGTAAGGTTCGGGTACTCTTTCCAATAAAGTATCTAATCCTAATCTGTCAAGGAGTAATTGTGGGAATGCATCTCTTAATACGGTTTTTCTTAATGGTTCATTTGACCATAGAGATGATTGTTGCATATTTTCGTTTAGATCTACAATGGCAAGACTGAGTTCGTCAGAAATAATCGATCGTGGTTTACCAGTTCTTCGATGTTCTCTCCAAATACATTCAAATTCTAATTCTGCATTCTTTTCAATAACTCGATGAACTTCTTTAATATATTCATTATAGAATGCTGGAATAATATTGTCATGGACTTGCATGTTCTTTTCAAATTCTTCATCTGTCAATGCAAGAGCTGCTAATACTTCCAAAGAAGATGATGTGACACCACCTTTGTTGGCTGATGCATCCTTAAATATTATAGCACCAGCTTGTTCTAATCTAACACGAGCTTCTTGAGTAAAGAAGAGATTGGCACCTTCTACAATATATTTGAATCTTGGTTTACCATTTTTATCAAGTAATAAATTAACATTGCTAAGATCAACAGCTTCCGGTCTACCGCCACATGGAACAAAGAGTTCAGCTGAAACAAGATTCATTAAATGAAAATTATTACGGAATAATAAACCGTCTTCTACAGCTTGGCCACCTAATAATTAAAGAAGGAAAAAAAAATTTTTTTTTTAGGAAATTTTATAAATAAATTATAATATTGCAAAGAGAGCTTTTATATTTAACATACTTGGTAATTTTATATTCTGTTCATCTATTAAAACTTTAAATCCATTTGGTGACAATTTAGAAGCCTCGAAACGTGAAACCGTCAAACGATTTTGAGCCAATCGTTTTAATTCACTTCTATCAATACCTTCAGGATCACATATTACACCACTACCATCGACGATAGCTAAAAACAATGCAAAAAATGTTATTTAATATTCTCATTGAAAATATATAAGTCAATTAATTTTTAACCACATACCAACTGTGCGGTCCTTTGAAATTTTAATTTCATTGCTACCCAAATCACCATCAGGTCCACCAGTTTGGAATTTTGAAATCTTGGATTCCTTGAGACCAAATTTTCTATATATTCCGAGTACATACTGATGTACTGAGCGAGTTGTCATACCATAAAGATCATGAGGAATACCACCCATTGATTGACTTTTGCCAGTTGTGAAAGCTTTCCAGAATGAAGCACCTCTTTTGCGAGCATGCGCACTAGCCCAATCAACAAAATTGGCAGTTCCTTCATCTGGCCCAAAGAATAAAATTTCTGGTTTATTGTATAAATCAACAATTTTCTGTTCAGAAGTATAAAATAAATATATATATTATAAATATATATTGTTAAATATAAATATAAATTGAAGAGACTCTTGAAAATTCTGAGAGTTATCTTGATATACTTTACCTCTTTAATACCGGGAGTAGTTCCAGGAATCAAAAGATCAAGAATACTATCAACATATTTTTCAAATGCAACCCGATCTTTATCTTGTTGCGAAATGTCCAAGAGAATTGTACCTTTTGAACCACCTTCAGGTATATCCTTATTTTTTCTTTGTTGAGTTGCAGCCAATGCATAATTTTCATCAAAGAGAGATCTCAAATTGATACTGTATGATTCCTTATTTCTAGAACGAATAATACGAATGCCACCACGGGCGACATCACGGAATCTCAAGTGGAAACCGCGGAATTCAGAACCAATAACGAGGAACATACCATAAAGTTTGGAAGGATATTCAATCGATGGCAAGAAAGCAGGATTAAGACGGAAGGATAATGCTACTTTGGTTGGTTGATAGAAATTTGTTTTAAGAACATGCTTGTTGAAAATCAAGAAAGATTCAAACACCATAAATTCGTGAACATTTGATGTTGTCTTTTTGATTTTATCCAGTAGTTCATCATCATTGAGCACAACATCAGTTTGAATACGTTGGAATGATAATGTCGGTCTTTTTTTTTTTTTGTTCATAAGCAAAAATTAAAAGAGAATTTTTGTTTAAAACAATTATTGAAACAAAACGTTACAATAAAAAAAATATATATATATATATGTTACTTACTCAAGAGCAGCGGCACGTGGATTAACATAATGAGTTAATGCAAAGTTAATGTATAACAAGTGAATTAAATCTGGATACATTTTTATGATATCTAAAATATATTCACGCGTAAAAGCATCCGAACGTAACCTCTTTTTGATCTTGTTCAAAACTTCCGCATGAACAGGATCATTTTGATCCAAAATATTTGAAAGACTAACATACTCATTACCCAAACGATTAAGGAAATGTTGGGCAAAAATCCAACCAACATAACCATAAATTGTTTCTTGAACAGACAATTTTCCACTTTGGAAAAAGTGTTGGAATGGTGTAGTAGGCAAACAATAAATAAGCGAAGCTTCTTTAATGACTTGATGAATTGAATGTTCAATCGGAGAAGATTTGGAACTTGGAAGTGGATTAAGATATAGACTCATCACAGTAACACCATTTGAAAATTGTTCTAAAAATGATAATTATTAAAAGAGAATATTTTAACTTTTTTTTTTAAAAAAAAAAATTTTTAACAAGTAATAAGTAATTACTAACCGACATATTTTCTAGTAGAATAAAGTTCATAAAAATGATAAAGATCTGACATAGCTGAGAAGAAAGATTGAGTACTGCGTTGTCTATAACCAATGACAAGACGTCTTTCACGACTTCCTTCTACTTCAAACATTTCAATCACTGGACCAGTTCTTTTAAGAACAGCTTTCATAACATTTTGATAGATTTCCAAAGTATTTTCAGTGGCCTTTTCCAAAAATGTTCTATCACCCACAAGACGAATGTCGGTTTCTTCGTCAGGAGAAGGATTTGATTTCACAAAATCACATTTAGCAACAAAATAGCAACGAATTTGGGCATTCACAGAAGGTGATACATTTCCACGAGAACGATAAGATTCCAAACGATAAGCATTAGTAGTATTGCTAACATCTAAATAATTAAGATCGATTCTAAAATAAAATAAAATATGAAGTATTAGAATACTAAAAGTTTAATAAAGATTAAATTAAATCATAATGAATACCTTCTTTCATGTTGAGGACCAGTTAATTGAGAAATACCAGGACGAGATGTATGTATATATACTGCGGCTTCGTCAGTTTCCCTTTCTAAATTGATATCAAGTTCACTTTGTTGATTCTTCGTATAAGCATAAATCTTTGCACCATATAAGGCCAAAATATGGTTTGCAATAGTATCAATGTTTTCCATAGTAAAATACATGTCATCGATTCCAAGATTCCTATTTAATCAAGTCATGTGAACAAATTAGGTAATGTTTAAAAACGATACACGTGAAACAGTGAGATGAGCTATTAACATAACTTACCCGTAGAACCAAGAAACTTCGTGCCTGACAAGATCCTTGGGTATAAAACCTTTTTCTTCCAAGTATTCACAAACTTTAAGCATTTGGTCTGCCTTTCCTTCAAAGATATTATCACTATAACCACTTGAATCTTTTACAATACTATTTGTGGGCATAAATAAACCCGGTACTCCTCGAAATCTTTCAACCATTTCTTAAAACTTAAAACTTATAGAAGTACTAAAGGTATTGTTTTTTAAGGTATTAAGGATGTAGTAAATTAAGTTGAGCTAGTAACGGAAATTAAGAAAAGTGGTGGTATTTTTATATATTTTGTTCTTTTCCTTGTTTTTTTCGGTTATTTCGAGAAAAACGAAAAGAATAAATATATAAACAAAAATTATTAAATTAATTATAAAAAAAAAAAAAAATGGAAAGAAAATAAAGAAAATATATAATCTTTGTTAAAAAAAAATTCGGGATTAAAATTAATGAATTGGG